AGATAATAGAGACCACCTAAATATCTCTATTGTTTTCCATGTTATGAAAAATGTTTAGGGCACAATTTAAATGATTTTCAACCAGGAATATCGTAGAATAAAAATGATTTCTTTACGTTCAGTTTTTCTATTGCATCTTGTAGCCGGTAAAGAATATATTTGATTATGCATTTAATTCGAGCATACATTTGAAATGACTTTGAACATTAGACGGAATAGGACAAGGGAATGGTGTTAGAACTTGTATATTACTTACATATGTGTTATTATTTAACAACGGGTTTTATACATTTGTAGAAATATGAAAGGAAATTTTATAAAGTCAATGCAATTTAACATCTTCGATCAGTGGCAGATTAAGTAATGGACATACCTCGCCTAAGATTCTGAAATCTAGGAAGGAAGCCGACGAATGTCGTCAAATAACATTTTATTTGCATTTGAATTGTAAAAAGAATCCATGTCGTGAAACGATCGATGAACTTGTCGTGGTGGGGCCCCAGGACATATGGGGTCCGAACTGACTGCCTCCACCAGCTGCGCCGTAATCTACCACTATTGTTAGCCTATCTTTTCTTTGCATGTAACCCATCAAAACTGAAAAAATTAATTATAACCAAACAGATTATGTGACCTACACGTTGTTCAAATAATTTTTTTTATAGCACTATTAACATAACAATACTGGAATTTTAATAATTATTTCCCAATAAGATACTTCATACTTCCTGTGGAATGGACCCTTTTGGACTCATCTTCCGGAAGAAACTACTAATTTGAAAAACAACTCTTATTTTTATAAAATAATGTACAAGCACTTTAACTCTCACGAACACTTATCCTTTTGCTACTGTTATATGGTTATAGTTTTCATGTACATTTTAATACTCGACTTATAACTAACATAAACAGTAAAATAATTTCAGACTCATATAAGGTAAGCGTTGTATTGAACTAGCAAAGGTGACGTGCAGTGCATCGTCCCTACTGCTACGCAGAGAATCAATGTTAACAGATCGTATAAGGACAAACCGAAATATAGATTATTATACCACAGCTATACAAACACTCTATTCCCGCGTTCATTTTTCATCCTGCTGTTTTATTACAGACTTAGGGTTCGTGAAAATTTCTTCTTAGAAACGAAATAAATTATGTCTGTGTGTATAAAGGAAACATTAATTTTGTGACACCAAAGTGTACAATCTAAGAAGATTGTACAAATTCTCAGTACAAACACAAGAGTGTTTGTTAATTCATTGGCATCAGTGTTTGCACTAAGAATTTGTTTATAAAAAATATATGTTATCTAGGGCGATTTTGATTTATAATAGAATTCATCGCTTTTGTGTTGCAGCAAGCGAGTAAACATTACTGTTTCTTGATATGTTTAAATATAATATTCTTTATTTAGTTTGTATTTGTTTAAGCTGAACGCATTATAGTTAATCAGAAATCGTCTCCTATCCATTACTTCAAGTTTCTCTCTCTCCCTCTCTCTCTCTCTCTCTCTCTCTCTCTCTCTCTCTCTTTCTCTCTTTCTTTCTTTCTTTCTTTCTCACACAAGTTAAAATTAATTTTAAGACTAGTGGAAAATCAATCGGAAAATGTTACAAAAGCTATAAAACAAGAAGACAACAAGATTTAATTGAAGAATCAGTTTTCATTGACATTGTCTTTTTAATACGTAACGCTAGAGAGACAGTTTCCATTGACACAGTCTTCTTAGTGACGAAGGCCATGACGGAAAGACACCGCAAAAGGTACTCATTTACAAAGTAAACTGGTTTAGAGTTTGCAAAAAGGTAGGATATAAATTATTATTAGAACTTTTGAGATAACATATTATTTTTGGATACAGTAAAATGTCTAAAATTCTGCTACCAAAAATTTCAAGAATGTCTATAGTAACTGTTCGTTTTTTATTGATCGCAATAAAATAGCAATGGCATCATAGTATTTTTTATTTCGAACTGTGAGTTGTAAATCTGAGGACATAGGTTTGGGTTAGGTCTCGAACGCACAAAAAAACAATCTAAAACATTAGATTGTAACTTTCTTTGCGAATATCTCAAAAGCTAAAAGAGAGCGCCTATTATATCTATAAGAAAATGTTGTTTAGAATGAAGAGATCTTGACAACATGTTACATACGTATGTATTTCAAAGTCATGGAAATCGAAAGTGACTCCTATAAACTGCATATTTATCGTTATCTCTATTCTAATATTATTTTGAATATGCGGATAATTTAATTGAGTTAATAATATAAAATTTGTCGAAAATATATGAAATTAAATTTCAGATTTATTTCGGAATGAAAAAAGTTGTCATTAAACCCTGGTTCCAGAACGTGTGTGGTCGGTTCTGAGTAAATTACGGGAAAGGTGCGCACGCATCCGAGTCAGCCTGGGAGGACCGATGAAAATACGATTATTCCTTAGCGAGCCCCCGAAGTGAAGAAAGCCTCTTCGACTATAGAAACGACTCGCACGGTTCTTGTTTCGTTACCTTTCGCCAATACCAGTACGTTTTGTACTCGATTTTTCTTCTGATTGAAACCAGTGAATCAGTGAGTGGCAAAAATGGTGTCCGGTGGAATGACGTGTATTAAATACCTGACGTTTCTCTTCAACTTGATATTCGCTGTAAGTACTCCATGTTGTATTCGCGCCTTCCGTCAATCTTTATGTTATTTCCTGTCACGTTACCCTTTCTATCGAGGAAACGTATTTCCTCAAGCGTTACGAATGTCTAAAGAACTAGTACTACTACTTGATAAACTCAGTTCATTATTTGTATTGGAAACTTCGTCGATATAAATTATTCAGTTTATTTAAATTTGTTATTCAACTACACTTGCTTTGATCAAAATTATTGCTTCACGAACTTGTAAATATTCGAATGTTCTTTTCTCTTTTTTGTTTGAAATACGTTTCATAAATTTTTAATATTTGTAGAATTTTCAATACAACATTTATGATTCATTGACAAACATTATATTCGTATATTTAAAAACAAATTTGGTAAAACTAAGTTAAATCCAAGTAATTGTGAATACATGTATACACACAGTCAATTTTACATTAATTTTGCTCCTACTATAGTTGAAATACTTCAAATACAATGTCTTTACGTTTCTCCGCGTCAGTCGATCGTCAAATTGGAACAAAAACATTCGCTACCTACATACTTGTATCAAGTATATAAGATGTATACCTATACCTGGCATACGACATACATACACGTATGGGCAGTATTACTGGCTAAACATCTCAAAGCTCATAAGATTTTTAATCATGAATTGTTTTCATTATGCAACTAAGGGTAAAATAGTTTACGCACAAACATATGAATATTTGTTTAGTCTCGATTGCGCGTAGCAAAAACTAATATAATTAGTATTTTAATGATTTGCAGGATAATCGTGACTAATTCCAACAGCTTTTAAATAACGAGAAATCAACTTAATTAATATTTTTTCAAGTAGTAGTTCTATTTGTGATATACATTCCTTAACTTATATTGAGGAATTTATAATACATGCAACCTGATATTTATTTTAGTGTGACCATATGTGTTCAATAACACAATATATGGTGATTGTAGTATTATTTTTATTTCTTTTGAGCAAT